GAGCTATGCCATCTTTAATTGGAACACACTCGCTAACTACACCAGTTTTCTAGAACAGTCTGGGAGCTTTGTCTTCATGAATAATAACCACGTTCCCTTACTTTATGCTGTTAATTTTTGTATTTTCTCCTCAAGTGAACGCTTCGGAGTGCGAGAAGATATTCACGAAGCCATTACATCTACATTTTTTCTATTATTAGCTGCCTGTGGACCCACAAATTACATAGACAGACATAGTCTTTGCAATGTATTTTGCCTGATGAACGATCTTTTACTTATGTTTTCGATAACTTTCCTTGTAAAGCAAGAACATTGGTCTCCTAGACCACATACTAAAGATGTCTTCAGCAATATGTCGTTGTTTACCAAGCTGTATGAAGATGCTTGAGTAGTAGCATGCAAGCTGGGACAAGGGCATTCACTTGGTTTTTTTTGTTCGCGCATAGTTCGGGTTACAAAAAGCTATTGCGTGCTTCCCTTTACAATTAGCGCGTCGGATGTTGCATCAATCTTTAAAGCAGTGACTTGGTAATGTGCACTTCAAACATGTAACCAATCTAGCCAGACGATTCTTATCTTCATGCAGACTTGAGGTAGTAGGGTACGCCTCAGTAGCATGTGCGGTTGAAGGGCAGAAAAAACAAGTACCTGTTGTCTTGTTAGAGTCGCTGTGCAAGACAGAAGTTCTAAGTGTCACACTAGGCTTCCTGTCACGCGTTCTTTCAGAATGTCACAAACACAGGACTCCTGCTGCCTGCTTTTCACACGGGCTTCTAAAACCAGTCGCAAATGGTTTGACAGCTGCTTTAGCTCCGTCTCTGATGAATGAGTTTCATTGGGCCTCTCTAGTGAGCTCTGTTGCTTGTAGTGTTTTGTCACGATGTTGTTAGGGATCACCTTGGTCAGAATCTCAGATAGCCTTGAGACCTCCGATGTTTATGGTCACCGTATTTAGGAGATTCCTCATGTCACTAAAGTAAGTTGAACATACTGTATAAGCTTGAGCATTCTAAGACTATCCAAGTATTTCCGCTCGATGATCCTTGTGTTTCCGAAGCGGTCGGTCAAGATTTCGACAGCATCTGCATATAAAGAGTCCGTTACTTGAATTCTTTCGATCGCTTTGGCCGCTCGTCTAACCGAAGGAATTTAAGGTCCATCAACGTTTTGACGTACGCCAGACCAGAATTTGTATGAACGGCATCCGTGAGCACCTCCCACAATGACTGCCACTGCAGCACTGCTCTGTCGAAGAGTACAGACACAAAGTCAAGCTTCAGTAGTCTTCAAGCACTGGCAGACAGCCTTGAAGCTTAACTGACAGAACAATTTTCCAAAGTCTTACCCGGGTTCGCATCGTCATTGAGTATTTTCATGTCTCCTTACCGTCTCTTTTCAAAGTGAACTTGCTAGATGTAATAACAGAAAAGGGACAACGTTGCTGCTGCATTGTCTTCATACTCCAAGACCAATAGGTAGTCCTCAGCAGCTCGCTCGTCCACAAGGGGTCCTTCCAGTTGTTCATTGAGCACTCTTAGTCCGCCGCTGCAGTTTCTTAGTCTATCGTACAGAACTCGCAGTGCCGTGGCGCTAAACTAGTTCGATTCAAAGAGTTGGCCTGCCCCGTTATGGAAATGCGTATGCAAAGCTCGTTCGGCCACTTGTTTGCCCTTGATTGGATCAATCTTCATGGGTGTAAAATTCCTTTTCTTGTCAGGTGGCTTGGATCACACACTTCCCAAGTTTCTTGGCACCATAAAATGCAGAAGAAATGAAGCCTCCCCGTCGAAAAAAAAAAAAAGAAAATGGGGCAACATTACTGCCTAGAAGACAGCTGCAATGTGACCCATTGCTGGCCGTTCCAAATCAGCCAAATGCGAGACACTCCTCGCGTGATCCATTCGTTAGTCCTATCATCGTCCTTTTTTTAAATATTTAACTACACATTTTCACTATATTTCATGGGCAACCAACATCAATGGACAAGCTATTGCACTGACAAGAGAATAAAGCTTATTTATCTTCAAAAGCTCTGCTTTGCAGCACAATACTACGTAAACAAAATTGAAGGTAAGCCTTCAACATCTTGGCGAACTTGCCCTAATTGATGTCTCGACTCTTGAGAAGTTTTCTTTCTTTATTCACACTTTTCTCAAATCAATATATAGCAAAAGAACATATTAGACGCAGTATTCAAAAACCTTTTGAGCCACCTTAGAAGTTGCCATCACACAATCAATGAGCCCTGTCAAAAAAATACTCCGCACCCCTCCTGCACGATAACACGTGGAAAATTAGGTGCTTTATGGCGAAGAACCTACTGATCTTTGTGGGTGCGAATGTGACGAAGAAGATCCCATTTCGTTGAAAAGGATGCGTGGCACCGAGCACAGGAATAGGGGCGCTCTCCTGTGTGAATGCACATATGTTTTTTGAGGCTGACTTTATGAGAAAAAGACGCAGGGCAGAGCTCACAGGCATAGGGACGTTCTCCTGTGTGGGTGCGCTTGTGGTTGACGAGAATCTGCTTGCGCCGAAAGGATGCATCGCACTGGTCGCAGGAAAAAGGACGCTCTCCTGTGTGAATGCGCATGTGCTCCACTAGGTGCCTGTTCTTTGAAAAGGATGCATCGCAATGTATACATGGAAAGGGCCGCTCCCCGGAGTGGGTGCGCAAGTGAGTCGCAAGATTAGAGATTTGATTAAATGTGGCCGGACACAGGTGGCACGGGAACGGTCGCTCGCCCGTATGCGTGAGAAGGTGTCTTTTCATGCTCCATTTCTTGTTGGTGACATAGGTGCACTGCCGGCAGGAATACTTTTCACCTTCCACGGACACGAGCGAACTGTACTGCTCCTCGGACGTCAAAGACGGGGAACCTGCAAAACCGTAGTGAGAACAGGAATGCTATGCAAACCATACATGCATTATACAAATGGCATGCCGCAGAAAACCAGTCAAGCTGTATGCGAGATTTCTGCCATGCTCAGAACATGTTACTCGGTTAGCAATAGCGTGATCCAGCATAAATGTTTCCCACACACTTCCAAATTTCTGCACATAAGTACTATGCTTAATACAAACCTGCTTAATGCTTAGAGAAGCCCTGATAGCAAAAGATTAATTTGCAATTTTTTAAATTAAGCTGTAGCTTTGCCTCTGATCATCCCGAAATTTAATCATAAACAATAATTATAATTAATGCTAGAATTATTATTTCAGAACAATTTTGCATCAGTTCGAAACCCTTGCCTAAATACCATGAGAAACAGGTGCCCCGTAGTTATGGAGCACCTGAGACTACGGGCACTCAAGTTTCAGTGATGCTGAACATGCGGTTTTTAAATTGGGAGACCCATGGGCGGTCAAAAACGAAAAGGTGCATGTGCTTTTAACATGTCCCCTTCGGAAAAAAAGCCGCCCGCACCGTCTCATGGGGAGAACTCGAGCAAATGCATCGCAGAGTGGTGGGGGTATCGCATGAATGTTGCGTAACTTGGTATGGTTTGGGAATGCTTAATTGTTATTCCATTTTTATTATTCTTATCTATCGAATGAAAGAGAGGCGTTGCCTTCAACAAGTGGTGGGACGCTGATGTTCAGTTGTGCACCACTTCTGGTTGAAGTTACTGTTGCTTTCATCGCATCTGCTTGAGTCAAGCCAAGCGTCGAGTCAAGCAAAACCCAAATAATGGCGTCCTTGACTGAATTTTGAATGTGCGATGCGCCGTTTAAATACACACAACCCACGTTCGAGGCACAAAAGTATGGGGGAGAGGTCCGAAGTAATCGGCCAGAAGTGCTCCGGCATGCACGACTCTCAAACAACCCAAGCTCTCGATTTTCTGCATTCACTATCAGGGGTCCTTTAATGCATGGGAGCACTTGCTGCTAATACACAGAAGTAATTGTATGCGTCACAGCCAATATCACAATAGCTTTGTGCATAAAGTACTAAGCAATCAGGGTGGTTATCGGTAACTTTTTTCCCCTCTTTATGGAATCTATGGGATTCGGCACAGCAAAAACATCCCTCAGTATTAAACAAATAAAGCATAATAAATAAAATGTCAGAGAAAACATTTAGTATCAAATGATTTAGGAAATATCTAAAGAGAAACCGAAAACATTGATAGGTGTCTCAGTAAGCATTAAAATCTGTGGTGGCAAAAAATACAGGCATAATTTATTGTACAACTGAGAATAGTTTTCCATAACTACTAGCAGAGCTTCATTTGACAGTTAATGCTTTTATATTGCTTCAGTGGAAGATTCATGACACAAGAAAACACTGAAGGTTAACTTATTACATTTCAGCCACTTACATGATCACACAAAAGAGTTGACCTCTGATTTTAGGGAAATCCTGCAACACTTTTCGAGCAATGTCAGAAGACGCTGCCAATCGGTAATGAAGGCTCGTGAGAATGTGTGAGCCAAACATAGCACAGCAAACAGCCTGCAATTATCAATTAATTATAAAAGTAAGCTAAAAATCACTCACTACTCAATGAAAATGATGCCATAAACTCAAAGTCCAAGGCCCATGGCCGATTTGAGCATCGTGACCTGCACAGCTATTGCTGCGGTTGCGCGCTCGCCATCTCACTGTAAGCTGCGCTTTCGAAGAAAGCAATGAACACAAATTCCTGGGGGTAACAATGTAGGCAGGTGAGCGGGCGTAGCTTTTTGTCCCCTTGTCATCCCCCCCCTTCCCAGCTAATCTTCCAGCGCACTTGCTGGAACGAAACGAGGGAAAGAAAGATGCGACAAATCCCTGAAACTTAGCTCGTACTAGACAGAGTCTAAAAAACTTTATGGCAGTTGATATATGAGGCATTAAATTATTTTAATGAAGCCATTAAACAATTACCCGGAAAAGTGCTGCAGGGCCCCTTTAAGGAGACATGGCAATGGAAGCCACTGGTTATATATGGTGATGTGTTTTTGGCATGTGAATGCATCAACGAGTTCAAACAAGACACTGCAGTGATGCCAATTTTTTTGCTCTACAGAAATTTTTAATGTGACTTTTTTCATTATAACCCATCAGAGGGCAGAGCCGGTGAACAATTGGCCACATTATCATCACGATGTGGAATTCATAACAGTCAGACAGGCAAATGATTTCAATGAAGAGGCCTTTGAGATTCATTCCTGGCAATGCCCAAAGCATCCAAGTCCTCGAGGGCTTCGTAAAAGGAATGGAAACCTGTGCACCAACACAAACATCAATAGTATTGAAGTGATCACAAACACTCACAGTACAGCAACACAAACTTTTATACTTGGCATATCAACCACACTTTTAAGTAAAAAATTTATTTTTAGTGAATTACACTAATAGGTAGCTTTATAATTCAGTGACTACTATTCAAGTAACTAACCAAGACTAGTTACAGTATTACAAGCTCAAGTGCATGCGACCATCATTAACAAGAACGATGCAGCAGAACATTTGTGCTAATGCATGAGGCAATATATGAGACTCAAATGTTCCGATAAGCAACTAGGAGAGCTCTGTATTTGTTTTCTAACCAAATAATTTAACTTGCAAAACTATGGCCGCATTAGATGTGCCTGCCATAAAATTTAGTGAAAATTATTTCAATTTTTTGAAGCACTTATCAGAACTATCTTTCTTCAGCCCCAGAAACAAAAAAAGCCCTACACTTGAAAGAAAATACACACAAGCAAATCGAGCCATTGAGTAAATATAATCTTGTGTACAACAATTTTGTACAACAGTAATGTTCCTCCTCCATGGTGCATGAAGCGACTTATTGGTGTTGTTGCTGGTACTTTCACATTGAAACGAGGAAATATGATTGACATAAATATTGAAAAACAATTGTTAAGTGAAAATAATGAGCACATGAAGGAATGTAGAGAATGCTCTGAAGACAGAATGCTATATTATTCTTCTTTATGTTATATTAAACTTGATAGAAGAACAATGCAATTATGGTTAACTAGTAATTAGTTTACCTCTTCAGGCAGTTATTCACCAACAGTAATCAGTTATACAATGAAAAAAAGGCACTGAATATGGTTTCTAATTTTCTGCAATGTGAACAATCTATTGTCAAACTGAAATACATTTGTGACGATTAGCAATTTTACATAGTTTATCTTGTGATTTAGTTCGATAGCTGCCACCGAGGCACGTGCGAATCTCTGTTACTAAAGGTAAGTTTCGGAATGGGCAACAGTTGCTTGGCTGATGAAAGGCTTACAAATAGTGGTATGGCTTCTTGTCTGGGTGCATCTGTGGGTGTGTTGTCACTCTGAAGAAGAAAAGAAAACATGAAAAAAGAAAGTAAGGGATGTTAACCATTTTGGTAAGACTGGTGTGCCACACTGCACATGAGGGGGGGGTGGGGAATGGGGCAGATTGAAAGAACACTAAAGAAAAAAGAATATAGTGGAGGTCGTACGGGTGCGATACCTGCACTCTCTTTCTTGCATGCACGCACATAGGCACATGTGCACACACACACAGTTGTGCAAGTCCGTCGTACCTGGGAATTTGGGCAATGCCTTGGTTGCTTGAATTCTCGGTAACTTCAGAATGACATTTGAGAATAGCCTTTAGTGTTATAGTCCTATTGTCAAGATGAGCAAGAGCGATTGAGAGGAATTGTCTCTGCACAGTTTAGAGAGGGCAGTCCCAGAAGATATGCTGCAAAATGTCCACAGTACTGCAGGCATTGCAAAAAGCATTGTCGGCCATTTCTATCTCGAATAAATATGACTGAGTGAAAACCACTCTTAGCCATAAGTGACATAGCAGAGTGGCCTCTCTTCAGCGAAGTACACTTGTTATTTGAAATTGCCACAACACCAGGAGGTGTTGCCAATAGTTTTGGTTTCTTGATGTATTCAGTGTTGAGTACGAGATACACTTTGTGATCATTAGAAGCGTGGCAGCGGCAGTAGGCCTTAAAAAAAGGCATAGCCTCTTCCTTGTCGCCTTGCAAAGCTGACTGGGCAGCATTATTAGCATGTCCTTTGCCAATAACACTGTAGTAACTTGGCAACCAATGAAATGTCACCTGGGACCCCTTCACAAAGGACGTATGAATGAGGTGTCTGATCTTGAATAGCAGTTGTTCGTATGGTCCATGCCACAGGTGTGTGACAAGAGAGATTGTCGAGCTGCTTTGGAATCACTATATATCGACCATCACTGCGGTTGTTCACCAGTGACAAGACAGAGTGCAGCATGAAGAGCTGCGAGTTCTGCAGTCGTCGATGTTGCGTGGTCAATCTTGAAGCCAACGCCTACACCCCTCGCTCGCACAACCGTTGCTCCAAAGAACCTTGGATGGACGTTGAGCCACGAGTGTAAATGTCTTTCGGTGTATTCCTCGTGCATCGAGGCAGAGATGGCTGTTTCAGGACTGGTGATGACAACTCCGATTTCTTCTTGATTCCTGGTACAACGAGGTCCACAGGGGATGAATCAAACACTAAGGTGGGATAGATGGTTTGAACATAGGGTTGAAGCTCAAAGGCAGGTTCAAGGAGTAGATTGGGACTGTTGCACAGCTTGCGGTCTTTCTGAGGGCAGTGTTGCCACGTGGTGGTACAGGCTCAAGCAAATATGATTTTGAAGAACCTCTTTAGCAAAGATACATGTCTTGCCTCAATGCATCTTCCTCTGAATGATAAAGGCTGATGCGATCACTGCTTATCTTGATTCTGGAAGAATAAAACACACTGTGTCAACAGCATGCAAGCTCGTGCATCTTGACAACCTGTACAAATTTTTAAATATGCAAAATTAACAGTACAGGCTTGTGCCTGAATTTGGCTATACATGTCCTTCGATTACTGTTCTGGCACAACAGTGCAGTAACAAATGTGCAAAACAGAAAAGCAGCACCCCCGTATATGGATCGAGTGCCATTATGGCCACTATACCCCATTCTTTTTAAATGCAAGAAGTAACTTGTTAAAGGGTCCCTGAAACAGTTTTTTAAAAATCAAATACCTAAGCTGTTAAAAAATCAAACTAGGATAAATGATTAACACTAAAATTTAAGCAAGGCGGTTTTCATTGACAGATCTGCTCACTATTGAAGGGTGCAGTTTTCTGAAGCCATGCCTTTTCTCCTCAACATATCCACAGAGCCATTTGGACAAGGCTCTATCCTCAATGATCCTCCAGCAGCACGCTATGGATCGGGTGGACAAGAACGGCAACACCGGCAGTTACACAAATGAGACTCGGAATTGAGATCCTGCGCACCTCATATATCAAAATGACATATCGCAAGTGTGATTTACCGGATTGGTCTTTGTGTGGCCTTCATAAGACATTATTTCATATCATCGGCTGCCGTCACACGGGTACTAATTGGTTGTTTATAGAGAGGTACCATAAACTCTAAAGAGCACATATTTTGTACTTGCCCAGCATACAGACACGAACGACGCCAATTTATACCTTCCACCGGGAGAATGCATGAAAGGCCGCAAACTGATGAGGTTGTGTTGGGCCCTTAGCACGATGCCAACAGTTCGACCGAGGCTGCAAGTGCGGTCACAGTTTTCCTACAAGGCACTGGACTAGACGCATCTCTGTAGCATTGCGTCAACTTGACGAAACTGTTGATACTCGCGTCCTTACCTCCCCGTTGTTATCCATTACTCCTTTTCTTCTCTATTATCTTGCCTCAGTAAGGAGGAGCAAGCTAGAGGATCCCAAGTAACCACGGATACCCGCTGGCTGTCCATTCTGAATACAAGTGTCCGGCCGTATGGATATCCAATATGGATAGCCAATGGATGTACTGTGAAAGTCCATGTCTCGTGTGGCTGTTTTCTGGATGTCCCAACTGGATGTCCGACCAGACATTGTGTTGACTGGCTGTCTTTATAAGGACATGCCAAGGATATGTGCATTTGCTCATCAATTATTGTAAAATTATAATGTAGTAAAAATATGTATAAACCTGCAGAATCCCAGGTGACAATCTTGTAAATTTCATAAAAAAGCTAGTATAAAATTCATTCAAATTGTGGCACACGCATTTGATCCCTGGATGCCAAATAATTTTGCTTCCCGAGGCAAGACAATCTGGTCTATCGTATGTCATAAGAAATAGTGTATTCAGTAGTATTATTATCGCATGAGAAGTGACAAAAATGCGGATCGAGCACGTCATAGCAGTCATCATGTAGGCAAACTTTCATGCGCCAGCCTCGACACTTCTCAACAAGCGGTGCACCGCAGCTGCTCAGATTCTTCGGACAACCACGCCATGCTTGCCGTGGTCCTCTAGATATGTTGGGAGATAACGCGCACCATTGTGCCTATTGTCCCAAAACCTGCTTGACCAGCAGTGCGCACTGCAGGAAGGAGCACGATAAAGGAGGGTGTTCGTGTCGCACGTATGTACGCTGAGCCGGCCTTCGAGCGGCAAAAGGCAGATTTTTTTTTTCAAGTGCACCCGTATGGAAATCGACAACCATATGTGAAATTACAAGGGATTACTTTTCCACAAGAAACACTGAAACGCGACACGAGCCCACCACTGTTTTCGGCACAGATTACCGCGGCAAGAAGCAGCAGCTCCGTTCGCTAGCAGGGCACAGATAAGGCCACGTGTTACGTATCTCTTCTTTACGTCTCATATTGGACATTTATCTGTTCTTATCATGCGTTAACTATTGTCCATCATTTGCATAAGCCCTGTTAAAACGTGGCATAATTCCAGCTTTTCATTTGTTCGCATATTTCTTGCTATTAACCGATTTAAGATGAGCAGGCGGTCAGTGCCTGTACACCTTCTTCAGGAGTATGTGCTACACCGATTAGTTTTTCTCCTTTGCTTGTTTTCCCAAAGGTTGATAAGCCAGAACAAAAACGATGATCCGTAACTACTTAGAAAGGACGACCATACAGATATGAGCGGAATCACTGCACAGCGAAAACGAGTGCGAGACATTCTTGCTCGGTCACAGTTTAATTGCGTTCTGGCTTACTTAATAGGCGACTGGCATATGAGATGACGTGTTCCATTTGATTACATCGCTGTAACAGGACCGCACCTATGCCAATGTCGCTTGCGTCGGTGTGAACTTCAGTCGCCGCAGAAGGATCGAAGTGCCAAAGGATAGGCTGCGACGTGAACAAGAACTTCAGTTGGTTGAAAGAAGTTTCACAATCAGGAGTCCATTCGAAACTAGCACCTTGGCGGAGAA